CAGAAACTCAATCCGAAAGCCAGTGAGTGCCTTAGATTGTACACATTCCACCGACGTCAGCCTCTCGACGTGACCGCACATCAGGGAGCACTGCTCCTCGTCTCCTTATACTCAGGGGGGGAATGTCAGTCAAGACCCAGAGAGAGAGAGAGAGAGAGAGAAATTTCGCCTGAACGTGTCACAGGATGGGAACCTCGGTTTAATATAAGATAATTGACCAAAAGAATCAGAGGGGGGACCAGACGAGGAGAACTATTTTCTTTTTTAACCCAGAGAGTTGTTACGGTCTGGAACCCACGGCCTGAGGGGCTGTTAGGAGCAGATTCGATGGTACCTTTCACAACGGGAATTGGATAGGGACTTGAGGAGGAAAAATGTACAGGGCTATGTGGGGGGGAAGAGCAGGAGGAGTGGGGCTAGTTGGGGTAAGAACAGAGGGAGTGGGGTTAGTTGGGGTAAGAACAGAGGGAGTGGGGTTAGTTGGGGTAAGAACAGAGGGAGTGGGGTTAGTTGGGGTAAGAACAGAGGGAGTGGGGTTAGTTGGGGTAAGAACAGAGGGAGTGGGGTTAGTTGGGGTAAGAACAGAGGGAATGGGGTTAGTTGGGGTAAGAGCGGTGGAGTGGGGTTATTTGGGGTAAGAACAGAGGGAGTGGGGTTAGTTGGGGTAAGGGGAGTGGGGTTAGTTGGGGTAAGAACAGAGGGAGTGGGGTTAGTTGGGGTAAGAGCGGGGAGTGGGGTAGTTTGGGGTAAGAGCGGGGGGGGGTAAGAACAGAGGGAGTGGGGTTAGTTGGGGTAAGAGCGGGGGAGTGGAAATAGTTGGGATAAGAGTGGGGAAGTGGGAATATTTGGGGTAAGAGTGGGGAAGTGGGAATATTTGGGGTAAGAGCGGGGAGTGGGAATATTTGGGGTAAGAGTGGGGGAGTGTGGGACTAGTTGGAAGCTCTTTCAAAGAGGCGGCACAGGCTCGATGGGCCTAATGGCCTCCTTCTGTGCTGTAAGACTATAATGTCTCATCTGAAGGATTGTGTCTTTGACAATACAACTCCCCCCACCTCCCCCCCCCCCCCCACCCCCACACACACACAAATATTAGTCACTACACATGAAAGTAACAAACTCAAGTTCAAGATCCTCGTCCTCACCTTTGAGGCCATCCCTGGCGTTGCCCCCTCCTCCCTCTCTGACCTGATGACTCCCAACCAACCCGCCCACTCCCTCCGCTCATCGGGCTCCGGCCGCTCCATGTCTCCCGCCCGACCCACCCTACCCTCGGGGGCCGGGCTTTCAGCCTCTCTGCCCCCACACTCTGGAACTCCAACCCACGGTCCCTTCCCCTCACTTCCTCCCTCACCTCCTTCAAGACCCTTCTCTTCGACCGTGCCTTTGGTCTCCCTCCCACCCCTCTGCCTTCCCTCACCCCTACCCCACCCCTCCCGCTCCCCCCATGCTCAGGCCCTGACACCTGACTGTTCAGGATTTTGGGACGTCCTCCCGACATGAAAGGGCCTCTATACACGTCATTGTGTTGTTGTTGTTGCTGTTGTCGTTGTTGTCGTTGTTGTCGTTGTTGTCGTTGTTGTCGTTGTTGTCGTTGTTGTTGTCTGCATGACACGATAAATCTTACTCCCCGTCTGTGCCCAGTTCAGGTCGATGTTAAACATCTCCCACAGTACTGTGGAGTCCTGTGGCTCAGTGGTTAGAGCACTCGCTTTGCAAGTGAGAGACCTGCGTTCAATCCCCGGCAGAGGGCCAAACCTTGGGCAAGTTTCCTTACTCCACACAGAGCCTAATAATAATCCCTCCAAAAACCCAAAACAATGATAAATTGGTCATTTTCAATCCACGACTGTTTGTGGGACATTGCTGTGCGCAATTGGCTGCCGCGTTCGCCCACAAATATACAGTCAATTCACTTTACAGTGTGTTCTGTGAAGCGCTTTGGGACGTCCTCCCGACGTGAAAAGCGCTATATCAAATGCAAGGATTATTATTATTATTATTATTACTGTGGGGGAAGACATGGGAGTTGCTCTCTCCAGTTGTCCTGACCGACAATCAATGACCCCCCTCCCTCTCCCTCCCCCCCGTGCCCCCCCCCCCAACCCTCCGATAAAATCAATTGTTTACTGTGTTGCTAAAAGACCGCCCGTGTTTGTCTACAAAACACACAGTCACTACACTTGGTAACGATTCCTGTGAGATTCATATGATGGCTGTGGCCTCCGCAAACTCACTAACTTTCTTTCCTCCCTTCTTTTTCTCTCTCTCTCTCTCTTTCTTTTTTTCTTTCTCTCTCTCTCTCTCTCTCTCTATCTCTATCTATCTCTCTTTCTCTCTCTCTCTCTCTTTCTTTTTTTTTTTCTCTCTCTCTCTATCTCTATCTATCTCTCTTTCTCTCTCTCTCTCTCTTTCTCTCTCTCGTTCGCCTCTCCCCCTGACCCCGCCCGCCCGCCCGAAGCCTTTCACCTTCTCTCAGGTAGGAATGCCACAGGTGTGAGTCACTCCGAACACAGCCGGGATCCCGCCCGACTTCGGTTTGGTGGAAACGATCGGAGAGGCCGAGGTGGAGAAGAAAGGAGGGAGGGAGGGAGGGAGGGAACGAGGGAAGAGGAGAGGAAGAGGAGGAAAGAAACAGTCCCTGTGGACCTGGAGGGATAAACACAGAAGCCAGGAGCCATGAGTATCAGACTGGAGAGCGAGCAGGTGAGGCAATGGGTCGGTGTGTGTGTCCGACCAGTCCGGGCAGTCAAGAGGCTGCTGTTGAGGGAATTGAGTTGAAGCTGATCTGACAGAAGACACTTGGCCGAAAGGTTCCCGGTTCCTGACCGCTAACCATCGCCTTCCGTGTTCATCGTCGCCTCATTGCTAACCGTTGCCTCACGTGTTCATCGGTACATCACTGATAGCCGTCATCTCAAAGGTTCATCGTCGCTTCACCCCCACCCGCTGCCCCCCTCATCGCCCCCTTTAGGCTTCAGCTCCTGACAGACCAGGTGGAGTTTGGGGGAAAGAATGGACTGATTGAGGCTGTCTGGGGGGAAGTGATGGGGGGGTGTTGGGGGGGAGGGGGAGAGGGACTGAGGCCAATAGAGGTGGGACGATAATTTGTCTTAATCTTTTGATCCGGAGCGGTGCGAGCAGTTCGAACACGTCAACAGGAATGCTAACCTTCTGGTAGTAAATACCAACATCTTGTGAGGCGTGTTGGCACGCGTGTGCAAGGCATGTTGAAAGCCAGAAGACCGCTTTGATGACAGGCGGGGGTTGTTGACGTGGCCACCACACACGCAAGCAGCAGGCCCATGAACTACTCACACGCCACTCCGTGCGACACGTCTGTCTCCCCCATTAATATTAACGGAAACATTAATCTTATTAATAACATTAATATTGTTATTATTGTTGTTATCGTTATAATTATTAGTACTATTGTTATTATTGTTGTTATTATTGTTGTTATTATTGTTATTATTGTTATTATTGTTATTGTTGTTATTATTGTTATAATTAATATTTCTTTGCAGATATGGATTCCGAAAGTGATTAAGAAGAAGATATGCTCCGCTTTCCTGGAGGACACAGACAGTCACAGGTACGGAACCATCCGTTGGGGCAAACATCACAGCCGGGAGGACATGACCCAATCCAGTCAGTCTGACCTCGAATTCAAGTGATTTCCTGGCTCAGGAGCTCGGTCCGAGCCAGAAGGTTGTGGGTTGAAGGAGGCGAGTGGTGGTGGGGGGGCGAGGGTAGGGGGTGGGTGGGTGTGGGGTGGGGGGGCGAGGTGAGGGGACTATGGGGTGAAGTTCCATAAGGTTGGGGGGCATGTGGACTGGCTGAAGGCCAATGGGCTGGACTGGGCGGGCGGAGTAGGGGTGGGGTACGTGGAGCCCCACCGATGGAGGGAGCGGACAGGTTGATGATGGTGGTCAGCGGGTCACAGCGGTAGGGAGGGGCACGGCCGAGACATTGACGGGGAAGGGGCGCCTGGTTCTCTCTGTTTTTTCCAGCGGGCAGTCGCTGTGCCAGTGCGGCTATGCCAAGCGCTGCCACGGCTCGGTGGCCACGGAGGACAACTTTGGGGCCGCGGTGGTCAGCCACTGGAACACAGCCGAGCACACCACGGAGGTGCCCACCGATGCCTTCGGGGACCTGCATTTCGTGGGCACGCAGAGGAGAGCCAGCAAGGTGAGAGAGAGAGAGAGCGAGCGAGAGGGTGGGGGGGGGGGAAAGGGGGAAAAGGGCACCGGTGAAAGGGTCAGGCGACAAGGGGGTCAAGAGAGAGACGGCAGTAGGCTTTTCAGCCCCTCAAGCCAGTTCTGCCGTTCTAGAAGATCATGTGGGAGCGCTGCCGTGCGCCACTGGCTGCCGCGTTTCGCCCGCAAAACCCACAGTCACTACACTACACCGCGAATGCATCCCGGGAAGCGCTTTGAGACGTCTCGAAGGCGGGTAAGGCTTCCGCGTCAAACATAAGGATTGTTATTATTATTAGTAGTAGTAGCAGTAGTATTATTATTATCATTATCATTATCATTATCATTATTAGTAGTAGTAGTAGTAGCAGTAGTATTATCATCATCATTATTATTATCATTATTATTATTATCATTATTATTATTGTTATTATCATTATTATTATTATTATTATCATTATTGTTATTATCATTATTATTATCATTATTATTATCATTATTATTATCATTATTATTATTATCATCATTATTATTATCATTATTATTGTTATTGTTATTATTGTTATTATCATTATTATTATTATTATTATCATTATTATTATCATTATTATTATTATTATCATTATTATTATCATTATTATCATTATCATTATCATTATTATTATTATTATTATTATTATTAGTTTCTCCGGCTTTCCACGGAGACGGATCCCGGTATCATCTACTCGCTGATCACTCACCACTGGAAGATCCCGGCCCCCAACTTGGTGGTGTCGGTGTTGGGGGGAGAGGGAGACTTCAGGATGAAGACGTGGCTGAAGGACATTCTCCGCAAAGGACTGGTCAAAGCCGGCGCAGAGCACCGGTAATCAGAGCCACGAGGACACCCCCCGTCTGCCCACCCAACCTCACTCCCAGCGGTCACTCACCAGCTCTCAGTCGTTCCCTGTCACTCTCTGTTACTCTCTGTTACTCCGTGTTACTCTGTGTTACTCTCTGTTACTCTGTGTTACTCTGTGTTACTCTCCGTTACTCTGTGTTACCCTGTGTTACCCTGTGTTCCTCTCCATTACTTTCTGTTACCCTGTGTTACCCTGTGTTACTCTCTGTTACTCTCTGTCACCCTGTGTTACTCTCCATTACTCCGTGTTAATCTGTGTTACTCTCCGTTACTCTGTGTTACCCTGTGTTACTCTGTGTTACTCTCCATTACTCTCTGTTACTCTGTGTTACCCTGTGTTACTCTGTGTTACTCTCTGCTACCCTGTGTTACCCTGTGTTACTCTGTGTTACTCTGTGTTACTCTGTGTTCTTCTGTGTTACTCTCCATTACTCTGTGTTACCCTGTGTTACCCTGTGTTACTCTCTGTGACTCCCTGTCACTCGGTGTTACTCTCCATCACTCTGTGTTCCTCTGTGTTCTCCTGTGCTACTCCCTGCCCGTCACTCCGGCTGCGGGCGGTGTGTTACAGGGGCCTGGATCATGACGAGTGGGCTGCGGGTGGGGATCGGGAGGTACGTGGGAGAGGCGGTGCGGGATCATGCCACGGCCAGTACCCAGACCGTCACCAAGGTGGTGGCGATGGGCATTGCCCCCTGGGGGCTGGTACACAACAACAGCCAACTGGTCAACGCCAAGGTACCACCACCCGGGCACTGGGAGTGGCGACGGGGCAGAGGGATGGGGGGCGGGGGTGGGGGGGAGGGGTGAGGAGTGGGGGGGGGGGGGCGGGGGGGGGGGTGGAGGGGGCGGGGGTGGGGGGGGGGGGGGGGGGGGGGGGGGGGGGGGGGGGGTGGAGGGGGCGGGGGGGGGGGGGGTGGGGTTGTGTCAGTGGGGGTGTTCGTGGGTGTGTGCAGGTGTGTTCCCACGTGAGCAGGGATGGCTTGTGCGCACGTGCGTGCAGGTGTGTGTGTGTGTGTACACGTGCGCCGGTGAGTGTGCACACGTGTGTGTTGGTGAGTGTGCGCGTGCGGGCTGGCGAGTGCGTACACGTGCGCTGGTGAGTGCGTACACCTGAGCTGGTGGGTGTGTACATGTGGGCTGGTGTGTGTGCTTATGGGTGCCGGTGCGCGCATACATGTGTGCAGGTGTGTGTCCACACGTGTGCCGGTTTGTGCATGCGTGTGTCCACCCCTGTGCGCAGGTGAGGATGCACGTGTACTGGTACTCACCAGTATGTGCATGTGTGTAGGTGTGCGCGCACGCGTGTGTGCGCGCGTGCACTGGCTTGTATGCGTGTGGTGAATGTGTGGCTTGCACACGTGTGGTGAATGTGTGCGCACGGTGTGTACAGACGTGTGTATGTGTGTGTGTGTGTGTGTGTGTGTGTGTGTGTGCATGAGTGGGAGCTCCAACATTGGCGTTCTCTCACTTTCCCTCTCCCTCTGTCTCTCTCCCTCCGTCTCTCTGTGTCTCACTCTCCGTCTCTCTGTGTGTCCCTCCGTGTGTCTCTCTGTGTGTCCCTCCGTGTGTCTCTCCGTGTGTCTCTCTGTGTGTCTCTCTGTGTGTCTCTCTGTGCCTCTATCTGTGTGTCTCTGTGTGTCTCCCCGTATGTGTCTCTCCGTGTGTGTCACTCCGTGTGTCTCTATGTGTGTCCCTCTATGTGTGTCTCTCTGTGTGTCTCTCTGTGTGTCCCCCGTGTGTGTGTGTGTGTCCCTGTGTGTGTGCGTGTGTCCCTGTGTGTGTGCGTGTCCCTGTGTGTGTGCGTGTCCCTGTGTGTGCGTGTCCTTGTGTGTGTGCGTGTCCCTGTGTGTGTGCGTGTCCCTGTGTGTGTGTGCGTGTCCCTGTGTGTGTGCGTGTCCCTGTGTGTGTGCGTGTCCCTGTGTGTGTGCGTGTCCCTGTGTGTGTGCGTGTCCCTGTGTGTGTGCGTGTCCCTGTGTGTGTGTGCGTGTCCCTGTGTGTGTGCGTGTCCCTGTGTGTGCGTGTCCCTGTGTGTGTGCGTGTCCCTGTGTGTGTGCGTGTCCCCGTGTGTGTGTCCCTGTGTGTGTGTGCGTGTCCCTGGCGTGACACAGGGCTGTTTCCCCGCGCGCTATGTGGTGAGCAGCGCTGAGGACTCTCTCTACGCTCTGGACGATAACTACTCGGCTTTCCTGTTGGTGGACGATGGCACCAACGGACGGATCGGCGGAGAGATGAGGTTCCGCGCCCGACTGGAGGAGCACATCTCCACCCAGAAAACAGGGGTCGGGGGTGAGAGAACACACACACACACACACGCACGCACACACACGCACACACACACGCGCACACACACGCGCGCACACACACCCCTGCACACACACACACGCGCGCACACACACATCCCTGCACACACACACACACACAAACGCACCCCTGCACACACACAAAAGCTCACACACACACATACAAACACATGCACACGCACACACACACGCGCGCGCACACACGCACATATACGCATACGTACGCCGACTCACACACTCACACACATTCACACACACACATACACCTACACATACATGCGCGCACATACACACACAGACACGCGCGCACGCACATACCCACACACACACATGCGCGTGCACCCACCCAGACACGCACACACAGACTCGCGTACACGTCCAAGCAAGTACACGCAGAGCGCTTTGAGACATCTCGACGACGGGATAAGCTGCTATGTCAAATGCAAGGACTGTTATTGCGCGAACACGCATGCGCACGCGCGCACATACACAGTCACACACACGCAAGCACACGCACACACACTCACGCGTGCACAAACGCAAGCCCAGAGAGTCTAACACAGGTCACCGTGCGCTTTGCTCTCCAGGGAGGTGTAGCATTGAGATCCCAGTGCTGTGTTTGCTGATACAAGGACAGCCTTATATGTTGGAGGTAAAGCACTCACTCGACGACAACGTGCACTTCCACCGCGCCCTTCGTGCCGGGGTAGCGTCTCGATGCGCTTAACAGTGGCGGAGGCTGATACCGAGCCGGGGGTGGGGTGGGGGGGGTGGGGGGGGGGTTGCGTGGGGGGGGGGGAGAGGGGGAGGTGACCGCAAGCACCGGCGAAGAGGAAAGTCTTCAGGATCGATGATAATAATAATAATAATAATAATAATAATGATAATCTTTACGTTTGATATTAACGCCTTCTCACATCGAAGGACATCTCAAAGCGCTTCGCGGGGGTTTCTTTGTGAGATGGAGTGACTGCGGCGTTTGGAGGCGGAACGCGGCAGCCATTTCGCGCCGTCCCACAAACAGCCGCGGAGTGAGCGAGCGAGCGACCATTTTTATCCGCGGGGGGGCGGTTGTCAGCCAGGACACCAGCAGAGAGAGCGAGAGAGAGGGAGAGGGAGAGGGAGAGGGAGAGAGAGGGAGACTCCCTTCGCTTTTCAAAGGACGGAGAGGTTTAAGGTCCCATCCGAAGCGATCTGAAGGTGGGGAAGCCTGGACGGACGGGATTGAGGGAGAGCGCGAAAGAGTTTCGGGGCGGAAGGGGCTGAAAGCACGACCGCTGATGGCGGATCGTGGAGGGCGCGAGGGCGACAAGCAGGAGGCCGGAGCCAGCCGAGCCGGGGGGGGGTGTGGGGGTGTGCGCGAGGTGGGGAGCGAGGAGAGACGCGAGGGAGGGAGGCGAAGGGATTTGAAGATGAGCGGTGAGGATCTCGAAGTGGCTTCTCATTCCCCGCTGTCCGTAGAGGATTTACAAAGCCACCCAGAATAACGTCCCGTGGTTGGTTCTGGCCGGATCGGGCGGGATCGCCGATGTCTTGGCCGAGATCCTTCAGATGTCCTTCACGTCCGAGACCCTGAAGAAGGAGGTGGAGAAGCTCATCCGGAAACATTTCCCTTCGGAAGACCTGGCGAGGCTGGTGGAACTGGTGAGAGCAGAGAGACTGGGGGGGGGTGGGGCGGGTGGTGGGGGGTTGGGGGGGGAGTTGAGATGCCACACGCAAATGGTTCAACCGTCACGTGTCATGCGTCACATGTCTCAGGCGTGTGGGTCGCAAGGCCACCTTGCGATAGTTCTCTCACCCTCCGGGTCCGAAGGGAATTGGGGTTGAAGTTCCTCATCAGGGATCACGAGCCCCCAGTCTAATAATAATAATAATAATAATAATAATAATAATCCTTGCGTTCGATACAGTGCCTTACCACGTCTTCAAAGCGCTTCGCAGGCTATGCCGTAAAGTGTAGTGACTGTGTGTTTTGTCAAGGCTGGCAAGGCACCCGGTCACTGCGTGGCTGGGAGGTTTAACCGCTCCGGGACGCTACCCTACGCAAAAGGGCGCTATGTAAACACAAGTTGTTGTTGTGGTTGTCACTCCTGATAAAGTCCCCCCCACTGATCCCAACCCAACCCCCCGCCCAAGCTCAGGTCCAAATCCCTGACTGTCCAGAGCCTTGGGAAGTCCTCCCGACATGAAAGGGGCCGTGTAAATCACTTGTATTGTATCGTGTGGACTGATCATCAAGTTCTGTTGGACAGGTTGAGAAGGTGGTTGAGAATAAGGACTTGGTGTACGTATACAATGCAGACCAGGAGGGGATGGAGGAGTTTGATACAGTCATCCTGAAGGCGTTGGTCAAAGGTACGCAATCACCCAGCACCCAACCTGATGGAGATAGTGGAGAGGGGATGGGATTAATGGGCACTCATTGGGTGGGAAACTACCCCTGTGTGGGGAGTGTTTGATCTGTGTGTGGGGGAGCCAAGGGTTTGAGCCCGTGTGTGTGTGTGTGTGCGTGCGTGTGCGCGTTGTGTGTGTGTGGGGAGGTTGGAGCTGGGTGTGAGACCCTGTGTGTAACCCTATGTTGTGACCTTCACAGCCCACAAGAAGCACAGCAGTGATGTGAAGGTTTATCTGGATGAGCTGAAGTTGGCTGTGGCCTGGAATCGGGTGGACATCGCTAAGAGCGAACTGTTCACTGGAGAGATCTCCTGGAAGGTGGGGAACAACAACAACAACAACAACAACAATTTGCATTCAACAGAGCCTTTCACGTCAGGAGGACGTCCCAAGGCGCTGGACAGTCAGGGATTTGGACCCGAGCTGGTGGTTGGGATCAGGAGGGGATGGAGGGCGGGGAGGGGAGGGGTAGGAGGGTGACAGAAGGCACTGCCGAAGAGGAGGGTCTTGATTTGGGGCTTGATGGAGGCAAGAGAGGGGGCGAGGCGGAGGGAATGCAGGATGGAGTTTCAGAGGGGTGGGGGAAGAGAGGCGGAAGGCCTGCCTGCCAGGGCGAACCCTGGGGCAAGTTTCCTTACCCCACACACCTCCGTTTCCCGAACAGTAAGTAGGAACCCGGTTGTTAGTGGATTGGCAGATCGCTTTCCCGGGGGTAATAACCCCTCCCACCCCCCCCCCCCACCCCCCCAAAATAAAATAATAATTTGGTCACTCAATCCACGAGTGTTTGCGCGGACGCTGCTGTGCGCAATTGGCTGCCGCGTTTCGCCCACAAAATACACAGTCGCTCCACTTGACAATATACCCTGTGAAGCGCTTTGAGACGTCCCGACGATGTGATGAGGCGCTGCGTCAAACGCAAGGGTTATTATTCTTATTTATTGCTGTCAGCTAACCTTCTCTGAGCAAAAGAGTGAGCCAATACAGCAACAACAACAACAACAACAACAAGATTCCATTTATAGAGCGCCTTTCACGTCGGGAGGACGTCCCGAGGCGCTGTACAGTTTGGTCAGGACCTGAGCATTGGGTGGGAAATGGTCAGGGTGAGGGGAGGGAAGGGAGGGGCGAGGAGGGGGTAGAGAGTCGAGAGGAGAGCTGAAGGCTGAAGGTCAAAGAGAAAGGTCTTGAGACCGGCCTTGAAGGAGGAAAGGGAGGAAGTGGCGAAGGCACTGGGGATGGAGTTCCAGAGCCTCGGGGCTGAGAGGCCCAATACTTCCCTTAGTGGCTGAGTGGATACAGAGACCCCAAATAGGAACGATAAGGTACAGCTTTTCTCTCTGGCGATGAGATGGTGGAGAGGGGCAGAGAGTGGGGGTTTAAGATGATAAAACAATTCGATAAGATAGACATTTGCCCTTTTGGAAGAGATGTTAAACCTCACTCCCCATCTGCGCCCTGTTCAGGTGGACGTTAAAGATCTCTCTCCCTGTGTCCCTTGGCCAACACTAAAATTGGTCACTCGCTCTGTGGCTGTTTGTGGGACATCTCTGCGCCCAACCTAGCTGCCGTGTTTGCCTTCAAACACACAGTCACTTCGTTTCACAGCAAAATCCTGGTGAAGCACCCCAAAGTTTTGGAACTCTGTCCCAACAATCCCTCTGCCTTGCCCCCCCTTCCTTCCCCTCTTTTAGATCACTTCCTCTTCGACCGTGCTTACGGTCACCTCCCTCCCTCCCTCCCTCCCTTCCCCGACCGGTATTTTGTGGGCGGAACGCAGCAGACAATGGCGCACAGCGACGTCAGAGGCCTATGTTTCACGCTGTCGCGTTGCTTCAGTCTAGTGACCTCGAGGATCCTCTAACAGATGCCCTGGTGAATAACAAGCCCGAGTTTGTCAAGCTCTTCACTGGCAATGGGCTGAACGTGACCGATTACCTGAGTTACCGGCGGCTCGAGGAGTTGTACAGCTCTGTGCCCACCAACTCGCTGCTCAACTGTCTGCTGCAGAAGAAGCTGGTGGAGAGGAGGGGGCTGGCTGGCAAGCTGCTCACCCGCCCAAGGGCAGGGGACGGGCACTGCGGTTATACACTGTACGAGGTCTCCAAGGTCCTGTGTGATCTCCTGGGCGATTTCTGCCAACCCATCTACGAGGAATCCTTACACCTCTCCAAGGTTTACAGCAACCGGCGGAAAGCAGGGGTAAGGATACACTGCACGCGTGTGTGTGTGTGTGTGTGTATGTGTGTGTGGTGGGAGGGTGGGGTGGGGGTGGGGGGGAGTGGGGAAAAGGGGGTCCTCTAAGGTGGGGGCACAACACAGCCCAGTGCTCATCAGCAGGGTGATTGATCCAAGTGGAAACCCGTCACCGTGACCGGCCGGGTGTCTGAACGCACGGAAACCCGTCACCGTGACCGGCCGGGTGTCTGACACGCACGGAAACCCGTCACCGTGACTGGCCGGGTGTCAGACACGCACGGAAACCCGTCACCGTGACCGGCCGCGTGTCCGACACGCACTGAAACCCGTCACCGTGACCGACCGGGTGTCTGACACGCACGGAAACCCGTCACCGTGACCGGCCGTGTGTCCGACACACACGGAAACCCATCACCGTGACCGGCCGGGTGTCTGACACTCACGGAAACCCGTCACCGTGACCGGCCGCGTGTCCGACACACACGGAAACCCGTCACCGTGACCGGCCGGGTGTCTGACACGCACGGAAACCCGTTCACCGTGACCGGCCGGGTGTCTGACACGCACGGAAACCCATCACCGTGACCGGCCGCGTGTCCGACACACACGGAAACCCGTCACCGTGACCGACCGGGTGTCTGACACGCACGGAAACCCGTCACCATGACCGACCGGGTGTCTTACACACACGGAAACCCGTCACCGTGACCGGCCGGGTGTCAGACACGCACGGAAACCCGTCACCGTGACCGGCCAGGTGTCTGACACGCACGGAAACCCGTCACCGTGACGGGGTGTCTGACACGCACGGAAACCCGTCACCGTGACCGGCCGCGTGTCCGACACACACGGAAACCCATCGCTGTGCTTAAGAGTCTCCAAATCAGACTGAGAATTCACTCACAACCTCAACAGTTTGCGTTTACACAGCGCCATTCTCTGGGCTCGCGTCCCAGAGGACTCACACACTGTAAGCAGTCGAAGAGGTGTGACCTAAAGATAGGGAAGGACGGGGCAAGGCCGAGGGATGGAGGAGGAGCGTTCTTGAAAGCCACTATGCCCCGAAACTCTGGAACACTCTTCCTGGAGGAACAGAGGACATGAGGGACAAGTAGGAGCATCCTCAAATACACATAAGGGTACGCGGACTCGCATACACCCACCACCCGCTTCACGCACCCACACGTGTTTGTGTTTCAGGAGATGCTGAAGACTAGGCAGTTTGAGTACCAGGCGAGGAGTTCAACGGCCCCATGGACTGACCTCCTGGTCTGGGCTCTCCTTCAAAACCGCCCAGAGATGGCTGTTTGCTTCTGGGAGCTGGTGAGGAGCACAGAGGACAACCTGGGGAGATGGAGGGAGCTGGGTGGAGAGTAGGGAGAACTCAATGTGTCTGAGGAGCCTCAATCATGGCTTCCTTCTAACCCCTACAGAGCGGCGAGTCGGTCTCCTCCGGCCTTGTGGCCTCTCGCATCCTGAAGGAAATGGCACGGCAGGAGATGGAGGCCGAGGGAGCCCAGACCATGAAGGAACTGGCCGCAAAGTTTGAGCAGCTGTCGCTCGGTAACCAGCCACAGTTAGGCCGCCAACTCCATCCTCACCTCCTCCGTCCTCACCCACCTCTATCCTCTCCCAACTCACCCTGTGGCTCAGTGGTTAGAGCCCTCGCCTCGCCTCGCCTCGCCTCGTCCTTCCTTCTTCTTCTTCTTCTTCTTCTTCTTCTTCTTCTTCTTCTTCTTCTTCTTCTTCTTCTTATTATTATTATTATTATTATTATTATTATTTTATTATTATTATTATTATTATTATCCTCCCCTAAACCCATCCTGCCCAACTCTACTCCTACCCTCAGCCGCACTCATCAGACATCCACACGCTCATATGAACGCACACACATGCACGCACACGCTAAGCCATGTACACGCCTGGAACATGCTTGCACCACGCGCCTGTCAACTCGCCACACGCACGGCCTGCCGTGCCCTGCTTTGCCCACAGACGTATTTAAGGAGTGTTACCTGCACAGTGAGAGGAGAGCGTTCACCCTGCTGGTGCGTCGATGCCCGGTCTGGGGATACGCCACCTGCCTGCAGCTTGCCACCGCCGCCGATGCCCGCGGCTTCCTCGCCTACGATGGTGTCCAGGTACGTCCACGGCGTTCCTTCACCACGAGAGAGACGCAGCACTTGGGCTCCACGGGCATTGCAATCCAGGACCCACTGCGCCACGAATCGGCCGCCGCGTTTTGCCCACAAAACCCACAGTCACTACACTTTGCAGTGCATCCTGTGAAGCGCTTTGAGACGCCTCGAAGACGCGATAAGGCGCCCGGGTCAAATGCAGGGATTATTATTATTTAATGCACAGTCACTACATGTAACATAATAAACGAATTAATCGATGAATTCAGAAATTGATTCATTAATTCATTAATTAATTGAAACAGGATTCTAATTACAGTGCATCGAAGGGCTTTGAGCTATCGCGACAAAGCAATATGAAATGCAGAGTTTATTGTTTAATAATAATTATTAATTATTATTAGACTGTAGGAGGACATAGACAACAACAACAACAACAACAAGATTCCATTTATAGAGCGCCTTTCACGTCGGGAGGACGTCCCGAGGCGCTGCACAGTTGGGTCGGGACCCGAGCATTGGGGAGGGGGGAGATGGTCAGGGTGAGGGGAGGGGAGGGAGGGAGCGAGGAGGGGGGAGATGGTCAGGGTGAGGGGAGGGGAGGGGAGCGAGGAGGGGGAGATGGTCAGGGTGAGGGGAGGGGAGGGAGGGAGCGAGGAGGGGGGGATGGTCGGGTGAGGGGAGGGGAGGGAGGGAGCGAGGAGGGGGAGATGGTCAGGGTGAGGGAGGGAGGGAGGGAGCGAGGGGGGGATGTCGGGTGAGGGGAGGGAGGGAGGGAGCGAGGAGGGGGGGATGGTCGGGGTGAGGGGAGGGGAGGGAGGGAGCGAGGAGGGGGGAGATGGTCAGGGTGAGGGGAGGGGAGGAGGGAGGGAGCGAGGAGGGGGGAGATGGTCAGGGTGAGGGGAGGGGAGGGAGGGAGGGAGCGAGGAGGGGGGAGATGGTCAGGGTGAGGGGAGGGGAGGGAGGGAGCGAGGAGGGGGGAGATGGTCAGGGTGAGGGGAGGGGAGGGAGGGAGCGAGGAGGGGGGAGATGGTCAGGGTGAGGGGAGGGGAGGGACAGTCTGGGGGAAATGGGCAGACACATGGCAGATGAAGTTAATAATAATATTATAAGCCGATAATCCCCCCCTGTGCCCCAGATAAAATCACTCTGTATCAAACTCAAGGCAATTACAGACGTACCTCGACCTCCTCCACAACAATTATTAATTATTATTCTTGATTATTATTGATTCCCATCGGCAGGGCCTTTTGAACCAGATCTGGTGGGGGGAAATGGACAGGAGGACTGATATCTGGAGGCTGGTGCTCACCTTCTTTTGTCCCCCACTGTTATATACCAAACTCATCAAATTCAGGTAACTCGACGACGTGATAAGGCGCTATTATTATTAATATTATTATTATTATGATGATGATGATGAGCGGCGGTATTGGGAAAGACAAGGGAGTGTCTCTCTCTTTCTCTTGATGTCCGAGCCAACAATTCCACCCGCCCCCCCGCCAACTAAAATCACTTTGTATTAAGGGTGAGGCTTATTACAGACATTACCCTTGACCACAACAACAACAACTTGGGTTTACACCGCGCCCCTCGCGCAGGGTAGTGTCTCAGAGCCGGGCGGGGAGGTGACCGTAGGCACGGTCGAAGAGGAAAGTCTTCAGGCACGACCTGAAGATGGGGAAGGAAAGGGGCAGGATGGAGGGAAAGAGAGAGAGAGAGAGAGCGTTACGGGGCATAGTGGCTGGAAGTGTGGCCTCCGATGATGGAACGGAGGGCACGAGGGACAAGCAGGAGGTTGGAGCGAGTCAAGCGGAGGCAGCGGGTGGTGGGTTGGGGTGTTAGCAGGTCGGAGAGGTAGGGAGGTGCGAGGGGATGAAGGGATTTGAAGAGGATTGAGCCAATGTAAGCGCTGGGTCCCATATATCAGGACTAAGTGATCATTTTCTCTCGTCTTCTGTCTTCACAGTGATATCAAAGAGGAAACAGAGACACAGATCCCCGAGTTTGAGTTGGACAGTGTTGACGGTGACCTCCTGCTCTTGGGGTTAGTGCCTCCGGCCCTCAGCCTGGCTCAGCCGCTCGTGCTTTCACCTCTGAGCCAGAAGATTGTTGGGTTCGAGCCCCCGAGTCAAGGGACTTCCAACTCACAGTCCAGGCTGACGCTCCCGAGCAGCGCTGGGGTGAGGGGGGGGAGAGAGAGAGAGAGAGAGAGAGAGAGAGAGACGCCACCTTTTGACCGAGACGTTAAACCTCACTCTCCATCTGAACGACGTGATAAGGCGCTGTATCAAATGCAAGGATGATTATTATTATTATTATTTAGCTTCATCTGCCATGTGTCTGTCTGCCCATTTCACCCGCCCGCCTATGTCCTCCTGCAGTCTGCTATTGCTATGGTTAGTGTGTTTATTAGTGATGTTCCTGTGTCGGATAATAATAATTACATTATTAATAATAATTCTTGCATTTGATATCACGCTTTATCACATCTTCGAGACGTCTCGAAGCGCTCCACAGGATTTACTGTAAAGTGCAGTGACTTGTGTATTTTGGGTGTGTTGTGCCAAAGGGAGGGAGAGGAGTGGGAGAATTCCGGAGACTGGGAAAGGCCGGAGACCGGGAAGAATGTTCCCAGGAAGAGTTGCTCGAGACCGTTTTGGATGAAGCGTTGGAAGCAGTTCTGGGGAGCTCCAGTCACCTCCTTCCTCGGCAACGTGCTGATGTACTTCACCTTCCTCTTCCTCTTTGCCTACATACTCCTGGTGGAGGTCAGGGGGGAGCCCTCCCCCTCCCCAGGACCATCCCTAGCCCCCACCTCCAAACCTGCTCTCCTCCTCTACTTCTGGGTCTTCACATTGCTGTGTGAGGAGATACGGCAGGTATGTGGGGGGCGGGAGGGGGAAAGGGGGAGGCGGGGGGTCAGGGAGGGAAGATGGGGACATAGGCAAGAGAAAGGGAGAAGGAGAAAGGGGAGGAGAGGGGTGAAGGGGGGAGGGGGAGAGCAGAGAAAATGGGGACGGAAGAACAGAGGACACCGGAATGGGGAGATGGAGAGAGGGGATGGGAGAGAGAGGAAGAGAGGAGATGAAGAGAGGGGGAGATGGGGAGAATGGGAGAGGGGGAGAGAGGAGAGTGATGATGGGGGGGGGGGGTGGGGGTGGAGAGGGGGGATGGGAAAGAGAGCGAGAGAAAGAGATGGGAGCGGCGGGGAGAGGAGAGGGGGAAGAGTGGAGGAGAGAAGGGGAGGAGAGCCTGACGTGCGGAAGGTAACCAGATGTGGGCCATGTTGTGTGTTGTCAGGGTTTGTTTGTGGGGGAGAGCGTGTCGGTGGGGAGGAAGGTGAGACGATACCTGCAGGATGTGTGGAACAGGTGTGATCTGCTCGCTTTGCTACTCTTCATCACTGGCCTCGCCCTCAGGTCAGGGTCACTCCAGGAGCTCGTAACTCTCTCCTCTCCTCCTCCCTCCTCTCTCTCTCTCTCTCCTCTCTATCTCTCTCCTCTCCTCACTCCACTCTCCTCTCTCTACCTCTCCTCTCTCTCTCTCTCTCTCTCTCTCTCTCCATCTATCCTCATTCCACTCTCCTCTCTATCTCTCTCCTCTCCATGTCTCTCCTCTCCTCACTCCTCTCCTCGTCTCCTCTCGCTACCGCTCCCCTCTCTCTCTCTCCATCTCTCTTCACTCCACTCTCCTCTTTATCTCTCTCCTTCATTCCACTCTCCTCTCTCTCTCTCTCTCTCTCTCTGTCACCTCTCTCCTCTCTCTATCTCTCTCTTCTCCACTCTCTCCTCTCTCTCTCTCTTCCTCACCTCGCTCCTCTCTCTACCTCTCTCTACACTCTCCCCTCTCTCTCTCTCCTCACTCCTCTATCTCTCTCTCTCCGCTCTCCTCTCAACACTCTTCTCTCCTCTCTATCCCTCTCCTCTCCTCTCTCTTTCCTCTCCCTCCTCTATCTCTCACTCTCTCTCCTCTCCACTCTCCTCTCTCTATCTCATCTCCTCTCTCTCTCCTCACTCTACTGCCCTCATAAGAGCCTCCTCAGAGTATGGAGAAGAGGAGGAGCAATGGGAATGAGCGAGCGAGAGTCTCGCATGTGGAACGTGTTGAGCAGTGATGTGTAGAGGTGTCTATGGTTGACAGGATGCACAAACCAACACACGAGGCCGGGCGGGTGGTGCTGTGTGTGGACTACATGGTCTTTGCTCTGAGGCTCATACACATCTTTGCGGTCCACAAGGAACTGGGACCCAAGATCATCATCGTGGGCAAGATGGTGAGTGACGTTGGCCTTCCTCAACCTGTTGGGTAAGAGAGAGAGAGAGAGAGAATGCTCTGTCCTGTAGCTCAGGGGAGGACCCAGGTTCGGGCAAGTCAAGATATCCTGCGAGTCACTTTGAGACATCTCGAAGACGTGATAAAGCGCTGCATCAAATGCAAAGATTGTTGGAGGTTGTTCGGGCGCTGTTGAGGTTTGAGTGGGGGTGAGGGGGTTGTGGGGAAGCAAAGAGGGGGGGAATGGGGTTGGGCTTTGAGAGCGCAGGTGGCTGTTGAGGGCCAGACATGTGGTTCTAATCGAGTCCATAGGGACGGGAGTCTTGTCAAAGCCAAAGGGTGTGTGGGGTGGATGGCTTCTGTCAGGCAGTGGACGAGCTGAAGGGTTTTTACTTTTGTGGGGAGGGGATAGGTAAGGGAGGGGGTGATGGTGGGGTGGGAGGGCGGGGGGGGGCGGGGGCGGTATAAACAGTGTGGGGTGCGTTAGGAAGGATTTGACCCAAGTGTGAAGCTTAACGACAGCTGCTTTGCAGAACCCGCCAGTTTTTTTGAGGACCGCACAGTCGAGCTGGTGTGTGACGTTCACAGAAAGGGGAACAGAATAGTTGATGGTGATTTCTCTCTCTCTCTCTCTCTCTCCCTCTCTCTCTCTCTCTCTCTCTCTCTCACTCACCACCCACCCACCCCTCAAAAAAAAACACAGGCACCCCCAGGTTTAATCTAATTGCATCCTCCAGCCTCAACGTTAAACTAAAGCTGCCATTTCACTGTTAAGGCAGAAGTTAAAGGCTGTCCCTCGCAACGCTGTTGGAAAGGAGAAGGAAGTTTCTCTCTCTCTCTCTCTCTCTCTCTCTCTCTCTCTGTGTCCTGGCTGACAATTTATGGCACTCCCCCCCCCCCCACTCCCCAGGTTAAAAAAAAAACGGCGGCTCACTTCACGGCCGTTTGCGGGCACTTTGCAGTGGGCAAAATTGCTTTGCCCGCAAATACATGGTCACTGCACTTTACAGTGATTTATTTCATTCGAAGCACTTCAATGCGTCAGCATTGTAGGCGCTGTGTCAAATGCAAGGATTATTCTTTGTGTACACACACACACACACCGTGCAAATCGCTGACCTCTCTTCCCCTCACAGCCTCTTTAAGCTCCAATTAGCGGCTCCCTCCCTTTTTGCTGATCTTGCGATTTAGAGCCGAGCGCGTGAGTGTGTTTCAGTGAGTGTGTGTGTGTTTAAGTGGGTGTGTGAGTGTGTTTGAGTGAGTGAGTGAGTGTGTGTGTGTGTGTTTGGGTGCGTGTGTGTGTTTGAGTGGGTGCGTGTGTGTGTTTCAGTCGGTTTGTGGTGTGTGGGATTGAGTGAGTGTGTTTGAGTGTTGTATTTAAGTGCTGTGTTTGAGTGAGTGTGTGTTTGAGTGAGTGTGTGTTCGAGTGAGTGTATTATGCTGTGTTTGGATGTGGGTGTGTGTGGAGTGAGTTTGTGCTGTGTTTGAATGAGTGCGTGTGGGTGTATGTGTACCCGTGCGCGCGCACACACGCACATTGGTGGGGTGTGACGGGGAGAGAGAAACTCAATTCAGATACACACCGTTCGTAAAATGAAGCCACGATTTGATTTGCAACCACATTCCTGTGTGTCCGTCCCCTTTCTGCTCAGCTCCTGAGAACTCGGGGGTGGGAGTGGGGTCCGAGAGAGAATTCAAGTCCAGCAACGGACAATATTGCCCCCTTTCCCCACCCCCCCCCCCCACAAAAAAAAAATAATGTGGTCACTCAATCCACGACTGTTTGCGGGGACGTCGCAGGGGGCGCAGTCGGCTGCCGCGTTTTGCCCACAAAATACGCAGTCACTCCACTTGACAGCGTATCCCGTGAAGCGCTTTGAGGCGTCTCGAAGACGTGATGAGGCGCTGTGTCAAATGCCGGGATTATAATTATTATTATTAGAACTCCTGGAGTACTCGTCGGGAGTCGGATTGGGGGCTTCTGATCCGCAGCGTGTATCTGCGGCGACCTGTAACCCCCTCCCGCCCGCACAGACGGACACGCACTCCCCCCCCACCCCCACCGCCCGACTGGGTTGCGACGCCCTCTCGAAGCGATGCAAATGGAACGAGAAACCGCTTCAAAGTGTTTGGGGGCTACGAGCGCTCGAGAGAGAGAGAGACCCAATGCTGTGGTGTGTGACCTCCAGATCTCATCTTAAGGTTCATTTCATTTCAGCCCCAACCATAACTAATTCCAAGTCAACTGGGGGTGGTGGGGGGGGTCGAGACCCGACCCAATGCGGTGTGGAAGCGTGAACGAGGGAGAGGGGGGAATTTGCAGCGACTTTCCGAGAGAGAGAGAGAGAGAGAGTCCCGGATCATCGAGTGAGGAAACGGTGTCGATTTATAGGGAATTTCTTCAAACGGAGAGAGAGAGAAAAGTGGGTTCGTAAATTAGGACAACGTTCATAAGTTCCTCAGTTTTGCAGTAGAATAAGCAGTTTTATATATTATATCAGACGGAGGTATATAATATATAAAAAAGAAGCCACCGAGAGGCGCACTGGTCATAGTGTAGTCATAGTTGAGACCCTTTGTGGGGTGGGGTGGGGTGGGTTGTTGATTTAAGCTCCTTAACGCGGTTTCGAGAGAATTCTGTATGATCCCTGTGTATAGTGCGTGCGTGTGCGTGCGTGTGTGTGTGTGCGCGCGCGCTGCGTGCGTGTGCGTGTTTAGTTTCATTGGTGGTACAGGTTTGGATTGTGTGATAATTGTACAGGAACCTTTTTTTATATTAAATTTTGAACAAAAAAAAACGCGACGTTTCGGTTTCACGCGGAGTCTCTTTTCGACGCGTTTTGGATTGAAACGGCCGCCGCCTTCGCTCGGTGTCAACAACAACAACGACGACGACGACGACACGTTAGACTCGTGCAGCGAACGCCATTCGGGTCGGAAAGACGTCCCAGGGCGCTGGACAACCGAGGGGTTTTGGACCTGAGCTGGGAGATGGGCTCAGGAGGGGTGCGGGGCAGGGGGTTTGGGGGGTGATGGGGTTCGGGGGGTGTTGGCCGAAGGTCGAAGAGGAGATGGGGCTTGAAGGAGGCGAGAGAGATGGAGAAAATTCCAAAGGGTTTGGGCAGAGAGGCTGAAGGCCCCGATCGCCAATGGTTCTCGGGGCTTGAACCCACAGCCATCTGACTCTGGAGGAAGTGAGGTCCGAGTGTACGGTTTGGAGAGAGACCGAGAGAGAGAGAGAAGGGTTAATGGTTTCTTCGCGTCCGCTAGTAACTGTACAAACAGCGCCTCTCCCTGCAGACCGTCCCACCTTATCCTAAATTATCCTAAACATTTCCTGAGCGCTGGGTTGAGAGAGCGAGCGAGAGCCTGAGCAAAATAAACAGATCGTCTTGGCTTTGTGGTGGGCGAAGGCACTTTATTGTGACCCGTGCTCTTACACGTATATCCCGTGAAGCGCTTTGAGACGTCTCGAAGGCGTGATAAGGCGCTGTGTCCAACGCGAGGATTATTATTATTAATATTATTATGAAATGGGGCCGAGGGACCAGAGGCAAGTTGACCTAAAGGTCTGGTGTGACCCGCGACGACAAAGACAACTTGTATTTACACACCGTCCCCTCCTCGCAGGTTAGCGTCCCAGAGCGCAAGGCCGTGGCGGAGGAGGACGCAGAGCCGGTGGGGAGAGCGGTCGAAGAGGAAAGTCTTCTGGCGCGAGCTGAAGATGGGGGAGGAGAGGAAGGGGCTGTGAGGACAGAGCGCTTGGAGTTGAAGGTAGGCCCGAGGGAATCTCAACGCTCCCCTGGTGTCAGAAATCCTTGACTGAGCTCAGGCTAAAGCTCCTGGTAGACAGGCCCATGGTGGCCGTGGAGGGGATCCTTGGCATTTTGTCCATCAGTTTGGAGGAGACCTTCCTCCTGAAGGCCGACAGGGTGCCATTGTTTGCCAGCTCGTGGTAAAGCGCGGTGAACACAGCTACCGTCTCCTCATAGCTGTCCCTGGCGGAGATCTCGAAGAAGGGGCAATTGAGGGCGCGGGCTACGCCACCCCCTTCCTCCTCGGTCACCATGCGGTCGTACTGGAGGTCCTTC